ATGACGCTTCTAAAGTTGAAATGTCTGCCGAAATGCAGGTTGATACGCAACCAACCCAACTGTTGGTTTAGTCTTAGTTAATCGAACGTGACTTCCGAAGTGATTTATCACAGTTCGACCTAACTGTTGAACGACGTAACACAAGTTTAGTAAATCAACTGCCAAACAGAGCGTCTTAAAGCCATGCAGTTCTGCATATGGATCACATGATCAACTGAGATGCTACCACACAAGTCCGTGGTGGTTTACAAAACACACACGACAAAAACAGTAAACTATGCGACACCAGTCAAACAGTTGAAAATTATAGTACAACGATGTCTATATGAATGGGAATAACTGTAAAGTGTTCATACTGATTAGATTCACCAGTCATGCAAAGTAAGACAAGTAATCGGACTACAACTGAAGCGTTTTAAGATGCATTTTTATTGAATGAGACTATGCCAATTAATAGAAGCACACTGACTGGTTAAAACTCCTTAATGATTACAGCATAGATGTTTATTTCAAAGCCTTATCTAGGTACCAGAACCATATAGATGAACTTTTTTAATCTTTCTTGGTTGATGGCTGAAGGTAAAATTAAAACCGAGGTAGTGAGAGGATTTGATTCAGAGGTCTCCAGATTGCTGCCCTAGACCTCTCCCAACTAAACTAAAATACCAGGTCTTCAGTTCGATTCTCGAAGCTTTTCGTCTGAGTATCATTCTAATGTGATGCATAATCGTCTGTTGGTCAAAGTGATAACAACTCCATAGTCAGGTCTTTTCATTTCAGTCAGTCAGTCAAGCTGATTCTAGGAGTTATCTCAGATGGTTTAAGAATCAACATGAAATTTTCATACATTCAGTCATATTGGCTGATCAAAGTGGCTTAATTTTATAACTGAAACATAATACTATATTTTATTCATACAGATGATATACAGTAGAAATCTTTCTTTTACTTGATCACAACTCCTTAAGCAGGGAAGACCAGAGTCTAAACGTTTGATTCTTCAGTGACTAATGAACATATTTAATCCAGTTCAGAAACCAAGAATCTGAAACTCATAAACATGCAGTTCTACTGAGCACCAGGGCTCTCTGCCTGCACATATACAGCACCTGATCTAATTTTATTCTGAAATTGAGTCATTTCGCCTTAGCTTATTATATATGTCAGCTACAGTTGCCAGTTTTGTATTATTGAGCATAATTTAACTAGCCTTTTGCATATGATAACCGTTTTCCCAGCAAAACAAAAGAAGTTGAAATTAAAATATCTATTGTCATTTATTTATTTACTAAAACTCATGATTGGTTTGGTGGTGCCTAGAAGTGGAATCTAGGTTGTGTATTTCGTCCTGTTAGAAACTCGTCAGCTGGGTATAAGTGTATCTCCGTTCCCACTGAACTGAAATTCGTTCACTTCAGTCCATTATAAAAATGGATGGTCACAACTAGCAGTAAATGATTGTTGATACCCGTAGCATAACGAGTGTTTATCACATTTCAATACCCTAGTGGATAACGCTCCGGAGTTTAGACCAATAGGTGCTAGCCATGAGTCTCATTGGGAACACTAACTTTCACTAAGATATAGATACATCCAGTTGACAAGTCCCAAAGACGGTGAAACGCAAATCCACGGTTCTGCTGATGGCCTCTAGAAAGCATAATGACTATTTAGGGGGTTGGGAGGCATCCATATAGAGCCCCACTTGTTAACTCGATCCGCTATATCAGCGAGAAATTACGAGTGTCAATAAATAATCAACGCAAGTTTAACTTGCTAAACTTTACAAATACATTTTCCACTTAACTGCGTCTTTACAAAACCTCAAAAGCTTAAGTCACCTAGTCATCCCTGTTTCCTATTATTATGACGGGTTCCCCATTACCTCTTGTTGACTCGTAAAACCACTCAAAACTTATAATAGTTGGTTTTATCGTCGAATCAACGGGAGTTTAACATATTTTAATTTCAGTCAATTGTTAACATAGTGCGATGATATTCTGGGGGCCGTATAAATTAAGGTTCACCGTTATAACCGCACAAAGTTTATTGTTTTAGAAGAAATCTACCAATAAATCCACTGTTATTCCCGTTATTGGTTTCATGGACTAAGTCAACTACGAACAAAAATAACTGCAGAAATTCTAACAGCTGAGTTATCACCCAATGATGTGGTGTTCAAAGTTGCGACTTAGAGTAGAGAGCCATAATTAGCGTTATACACTTGCTCCCTAGTCCTTTCATAGTCAGACACCGCCACAACACTTCATGTTCGATAGAATCAAACGTTGCCTTCAGCCCAAGGAATATTTCAAGTGTCAGCTGCCGGGTAGGCATACCTGTACTTCATTCAGGTCCTGTCAAACGATGAAGGTCTGATGGGTGCATCATCGTTCAGGTCTGCAACAAGCCTGGCTTTCCCAAGTTCGTTATTTTCGGATAAAAAAATCCAACAGCATACTGCAAACTTATGTACATTAGCGCAGTAAGTAATGATTTATGCTCATTATGTGAAATCTAATGACACCACCTGGGAATATGAACCTCGGGAGACGCAGGTGTCGGGTAACTAGACACCCTAGGGACCTGGAGATGTAAACTCAACTGATTCCCTCATAGTTTTTCTAGGAAGACTTCTCTGCTTTCTTATAAACTGAAAGGATCAGTGATCTAGACCAGTGTGACTGGGCTAACTTTGAAATGCATACAGACAGACAATGTAAACATAGGACCTGGCATTACTGTTCAGCGATTCAAGCTGCCACACCTCACATCAAGCTGAAATGCACTCCGATGAACGGTAAAGAAATTGAGTATAAACCAAAAGTGGTAGAAAGTTATCAGAATGGAGCCAGGAGGAATGACAAAATACGAAATTCAGCATAACGATTACAAAAAAGATAGTGAGTGAATACATCTGCGCTGTTGAGTGATATCACCTAGTCTCCAACCGAGGGGCTGTGTTGTCACTTGAACCCCACCCAAAAAGTCTAGATTCTCTAATATGGCTCAAACCAACAGTCAAAGGCTTCATGCGACGATGCCATGTTTTAGTCTAGCTGCTTTGAACCGTTTTCTAGCTTTAAACCACTTCAGTTAGCATTGAGTGCGACTCATGTATAACATAAATCTTAGCCACCTCAGTCGATGAAGGTTCACAACATCATCAACTAACTGACCCACCAGGGCTGATCCGACTTAATGCGCTCAACTATTTCTCCCTTTATTTGTTAGAAAAAGGCGCCATCTGTAAGGCAAGAAACGCATTCCAAGCATTTTTGAATTGGCAGTTAAGGTATATAGACCACTCTGTATCTTATAAAGGTCGTGAACTAGTAGGACTATGTCATTCGCCTACTCTAAATCTACGAGGGATTCTTCTATGATAAGATCAATTCCTGTAAAGTAAGACGACGATAAGGAGTATATCTATGAATAAGAACAGACTTCGCTGACGAACACCACTCGACGCATACAGTTTATTACGCACCTTTGGGTGTTCAAATACAGGGTCTTTAAAAAATTGTGTTTCCCTGACATCTGCTTCAGTGAAACATCATATATCAATCTATTAATACGGTGAATTGTGTGTAAATTCATAATTAACATACGATTCCTGCGGATTAATTGTTTTAATTCAAATATTACAAAAGAATGAGTTACAAAATAACAGATAGAGTTCGATCAGCATTTCGGATCAGACATGAAGTTGGTTACCCTCCAGTGACTAATCAAGATCTGTAATCTAGTCCTATGGAGGGTCAGTCGGAGCCCGAACAGCACAGTAGTAGCGTCTCTGACTACAGCACTGGGTGACGTGAGCTCAAAAATCAGGCGCAACATCAATTCCGTCGGGGTGTCAGATATACACTGCTGACGAGTAACAAAAAGCATGAAACCTAGGTTCAGAGCTTTCTGTCGACAACCCTCACTCAACTAAATTAATTTTTGCTCCATGTACTGACTGTCAGTTCACTATCAATTTTATGAAAGTTAACGCTGGTTAGGTAGTTCACAGGGATCTAACCAATTTATACATATCCAAACCAAGTTGGGATTTATTGATTTGAAAAAAATTTGGGCATTGGGTAAATGATATTCACTGTTTTAGTATTTGCATTTCCCAATGAATATAAAACGAAATTAATCTGTTTTAACTGATGTTTTGGTATTCAATGCTAACAACTTTATCAAAATTATTCACTCACCACTGTTTGTATATCAGTTTACTTGTTGCTGTGGAGCTGAACGTACCATGCGCCAGCTTATGCAGCGCGTTCATGAACACTATCCAACTTGGCTGACAAGAGCAGAACTAAAATGCATCCTCAGCTCTGTGACAAAATACTCAGTAAACTCTGGACATTTGGCTCCTTTTGATAGGTCTTTCGAAATTCTGTACTAAGTGCGACCAAACCGCTCGAAAGAAGTGAGGCTAAGACATCTGCGTATAAAAGAAGTATGTACAACGTCTTTCTTTTCCATAACCATCGTAGATGATCGATTACTCTAGATAACCTATATATGAAGTATCCATTTTTCAATAATTTTGTTTATCTCCGCAATACGCGACTTTCCTTTGTGATACAATTTACATTAAACTTTGCTCAGAAATTACTTTACAATGTTTTATCCTTTTCAATATATATTAACGAATGCATATCTAAGAGGATGATTCCGTCGACACATTTTTCTTTGCAGCAATCGTCTGAAGTTTCTAAACCCTAGAATTACTGGTTAGAAAGTTCCTAAAGCTCGTGCAAAGTTCATGCTGTGATCTGATATGTCGGTAATGAGATTGCATGTATCTCCAGTTTCTAAACCAACCTAGACTATTAAAGTTAGCTAAACTTCGCTTCATATATTTGTTAACCGAATGATATAATTATTAGGTGACTGTTGGTTCTAACATTGACATTCGGTCAGCCAAGTGGTATCACTAGCCTTTGCAAAATAGACGTAGTGCATTGCCTACTAGACGAATGTGAACAATGTTGCTGAGTGGATTTCATACCTATATTAAATTAGCAAGTACAAAGGTGGACAGCATGATTCAGTAGATAAGGGAAATGGACACGTATGCAGCAAATGTGGTCGAATATCAAGTTCCAACTTGCAAAGATACGCTTTTGTTAAAATATTACCTACTTCAAGTTCGAAATAGAATAAAAGTAGGTCAGTTTATTGAAAAATCCCGTGTACGTATTAGGTTCAACTGAAAACACTAATACTAACGAATATGAAGTTAATGATGAGGATATCACCAAGCATAATGATGACATATCCAAGACAAAGTACCAAAACTCAAAGAAGACCGAAATATCATCTAGCTCTAGCTTATCACTCTGTAAAACTTCAGCACCATATATCACGGATATGGAATCAACATAATAATAAGGCCAGAATAGTAGTAATCATAATCAAATTTACACTACAAATAACGTCTCTTCGAAGAAAAAAATGTACAAGTGAAGAATATTTTTAAAAAAGGGAAATGATTAGCAAAATAAGAAGGGAAAGTCAAGTATAAAAACACACTTTAACTCGTCATGATAAAAATGCTTTGCGTTCACTGGATTAACAATACACATAGATCATTATATGACCTCACAGAGATGACTATAAGTGACTGTAAGTTTTAGTAGGAATGAAGTAACTAAATATCATCATATAGATTAGCCTATTTTATACAATCGAAGAAAAGTTGACGATAATTAAAGAAATAAAAAAGCACTGATAAATAAATCAGAAAGTCGATTTCACGTTTAACTAACTCTTTCAAGATACCTCAACATCTGTAAAAACCTAGATGGACACATAGGCAATATTTATTTTCTTCAAATGTTAACCGTAGAACACGAAGAGATCACCATCTCAATCATTATAGAATAGGTGAATCACAGTTCCTACAAATATATTCATACATGCAAACCCAAGGAAGTAATGAATACTTCAAATTGCTACAATAAGTCATATAGAATATAATGTGAATAGGTGATAAATGCAATAACATTGAAAAAAGCAAACAAAAATGAACATATCACTGAATACTTTCTATGATTAGTCAATCAAAAGGTATACAACCAAATGATAAGAGAGGAGAATATGCGGAACAAGCATTGGAATGGTAAAATCAACAAAGAAACAAAGATGTTGAGAAAAGTATGAACTGAAAAAAAAGTACAACAGATAACTACGAAAATAACAAATATTCAACTTGTAATCACAAGAGTCAAGAAAAAAGAAAGAACAGAAAAAGATCAAAAGTGGAAAACTGTTTCCTTTACAAACTGTTTTTCTTTACAGTAATCACAGTAATTTTTCTGTTCTCTATCCCCATTTGTACTATATACTCAAAATTATGCAAGCTAATTTATCCAGATATATGATTCCTTAGACATTTTAATTGATCTATGCTAAGTCAAACACTGACTGTGGTTACTTCAAAGTCTCCATCGATAGAATCGAAATCTTCACCAACTGCTAAAGCAACTGCATCAATTGCTTCAGCTTGTTGACGAGCGAATACACCACGTAAATAATTAATTAAACAACTGTCAATAAATATCGGTCGAAGTGTACTGGAATGTGAATGTGGACATGAAAGTTTAATCAACTCTGGGATAAAATGTCGATGAATTATCTCAATAGACAAACGATCATTTGCATCTTTTTGAAGGCAAGCATGAATGAAATGAATGAATTGAGATGAAAAACAATAAACCGGTAGTCGTGGTGCTGGTTGTTCCACAATATAAGCGAATAAATCATACATACCTATTGTAGATCGACTTTTCGGATCTGTGAGTGCTGAAATTTGGATTTAACACAAGTAGAATAAACAAATGAATATGATAAAAATATATAAAATTCATATAAGAATTTTCCGGACCAAATTGCAACGTTACGCACCATCATAGAACAGAGTATAGAATGGCAGTCAACTCTCTACCTCAACTTCATCTATTTTGAAAAACCTTCGACAGTGTCGACCGAGAAGTAATTTACAAACTGCTTCAATACTATGGTGCCAAAAACCTTCATCAACCTCATTCAACAGCAGCCATATGCTATATGATACTACATCCCAAGTGATTCACAATCGAAAGCTCAGCGACGCCTTTGAAGTGAACACTGGAGTAAGACAAGGTTGCTGCACACTGTCAACCATCATCTTTCTGATTGTGGTCCATTGGAATAGACTAGATCATGCAGAAAACCATGAGGAGCAAGAAGAGAGGCATACGCTGTTTGACCGCTGAAAAGAGGCTAGAAGATTTGGATTTCGCCGATGCTGATTTATGTCTAATGTCCTGTTACACAAACTCGAAGATTTACAGGCAAAACTAACAAGTTAGTAGAGGAGGCGGGACAGCGAAGGCGCGACTTCCTTCAGGTGAACGTAGAGAAGACAGAGGTGACAGACAGATGAAAATACCTAACCAACAACAACAACAACAAGCACTAATCACTATCAACCGGAGAAATCTAAAGCAAGTTGTCTCTCTTACCCCCATCCCTAGGCACCATCGTCTCAACTTCAACTACAGGTGGCGGTGGCGGTGGCGGTAATGGCACACATGAGGATGTCAAAGGCACGATCAGAAAGATAGCAAGACAGGGCCTCATTAGTCTGAAATCAACGTGGATATCTACTGCACTCCACTCCACTGCACTCCACTCCACTCCACTGCTTTCAGCATAAAGCGTGAACAATATCCGAATTTTCACCACTAATTCAGTCAAGTCAGTGCCTCAATGTAATGGTTGAGAGACTTGGCGCGTTACGAAAAGCATTCCCAACAAACTACAGACACTCATCACATCAACAGCTGCCGTCTACGCTCACTCGATACTGAGGATGGAGATCATACAGCCAGACTAATGAGAATAAGCAACAAGGAACTCTAGTTGGCTGGAAACAAACCAACCAACAACCCATCGCCCAACAAATATTCAGAAGAAGGCGGAAATGGATCGAGCATACACTGAGAAGACCAATCGGGGACATCATGTGCCAGGCCAGGTCTTCAAGTGGAATTCAGAGGGGAAATAACGAGTTGGGCGTTTGAGAATGACATGGAGATGTTGTGAGGAGGAAATGAAAGCTAGTGGGCAGTGGCGGAGCCAGGTTGAGAAGACTGCAGAGAAGAGAGTGAAACGGTGACGTGCTCCTGAAGCCCTATATTCCACTAGGAACCAGAGGGACAAATAATAATAACATAAAAATTTTAATGTTACCATTAGGATTCCGTGTTACACACATAACTAACACTTTGAAGATGTTGTCGTCATCTTGATTTTGAGTCACCGACTCAGATAATCGGCATGCTTATTTCCAACCTCACTTGCAGTAAATTCACTAACCTGAGAAGAATATTTCACATTGTTGGTAGACAGTTACTTAAACGGTGTTTATTTTTAGGGGAGTGCTAAGTAAGTATGTAAACTTAAAGATACTTAATAAAGATAACCCAAGAACTATTAGGCATCTTAAAATGTATTTAAAAGGAATCTCCATTTGGTTTCCTAAGAAAATCAGGATTCACTATCTCCTAGACCGCTTTACAGATTATCTGAAAATGTCCGGTACATAATTTATGTTGAAAATAAACAAGTATCCTACAACAAGATTTCATATCTCATGCATAGTCTTACAAGTAGAAATGAAGTAAGTTGTGCATACTGACTGTTTCACTTCAGTTCAGCAGCTTTCCAAGTTTAGATGAGCTAGTCACCAATTTAATTTTATAAGCAACACTGAAACCACAAGTATATGCATAAATTATGATTAAACATGGTTTGTTTCCGGTGTCTGACCAATAGGCAATTTTCATTTTTGTTTGGAGGTTTATGGGGATTTCTTGATTTCAACGTGACACTTCATCAAGGACTATATATGTATAGGTTTGTCTACTTTTAGCAACGTCAAATATAGGCATTACTTCTACGATTCAGTTCAGTAAAAAAAAAACAGTGTAAAATTCATATGAAATAAGTTCCAACTAGTTGCTTTTAAACATTTGTTAGATATCAATGTAATACTAGTCATAAGATAAGATTTTGATGAATGTATACATCTTGTTTAATCTGAAAAACCGCAACAACCATGTGTACACAGGCAAATGATTTAACCTGGAAACTTAATGTTAGATTCATACTCTTGAAAAGGATCTTCCTAGCAAGATCGAAACGTTGAGGAATAATACAAAATATTTGTTTATTTTGTTATTTGTTCTAATATACTATGACGGGATTATACAAGTAAAACTACAACTTATACGATGAATCATACTAACTTGGTGTCCAAGTGTTTTCAAATCATTCAGTTCATTTTTGGTCAGGTCACTTTTAAGTAATTCTAATTTTTTTTATTATTATTTAGTTCAATATCCAAGACTTTTGTGTACGAAAACAAATCTTAAGCGTAAGTAGTAGAGGTAAACAACACAATATTGTAAGATTTACATCATACTACTAGTAAATTGAGAAGATATATCAGTGTAGATTTTTCAGAAGCAGGTATCTGACTTGACAGTGAAAATTACTTTGTCTGCTTATAAGACCAATATTATAACTAATGATTGGTGTCATAAGGATAAGAGGAATTAATTATAATACTGATTATCGGAGATAGCCATGGTTTGGCAGACTAGTATTGATACTGAGTGATGATTGAAGGTGAAATTAAAATTTGGACCGCAGCCAGATCCGAATCAGCGACCGCCGGGGTTTCCGGCCCGATGCTCTACCAACTGAGCTACAAGGCCTCGTAGCTCAGTGGGTTCGAACCTGAAAGCGGTCCAAATTTTAATTTCACCTTCAATTATCACTCAGTAAATCTAAAAAGTCAGTGTTTAGTTCAGTGCAAAAACAGAATGAATAAGACTGGTAAACTAAATAAAAGGATAAAATTTACATCTGCTGGTTACAAAAATTAATGATTCTAACTAACTTCTAGGTAGAAATAAATGAAGAGTGAGAACGTGTTAATTATCCTCCTAAAGTGTGTGCACACTTTCTCTTGCAAGAGAAGCCCAACTAATCATAACTTACCTCCTTCAGCTTTGTCTTCCCTTTTACCCTCACTTCCTGATACCATACTTAAGCCTTATAATTTCGTCAACTTCCCACCCTGTTGACACTGCCAAAGACCCAATCCAACAAAACACCATTCCTAGTCCCCTAGAACCGCTGTGCCAATTTCACATCGAAGCTTTCAACGTCTAAATCCTATAGCAAACAGGAAAACAAGCATGACTTGGATTCTTCTGCCATATACGCACGCAGTGTTACTGGTATTTGTACACAAGACCCAAGTATGGTCGTTCACTTGACCTCAACCTGGCAACTTAATGTAGTGAATCAGTAAAATTCACTTAACGAGTATCCCAAGACTAAGTGACTTGCTCCCGGAGACTTTGGAAGTCCCACCAGTCCAAAAACTTGGTTGCTGACAGTATCTCAACTCGAATACAGAAGATTCATTTAACATTCATCAAATTACGTCATTTCTTATGCTTGTCAGAAATCCGGTTACCTACCAAAACATGACTCTACTGTACCGCAGTTCAGTCTGTCCTTTTATACGACTGTGAGACAAACGTTTGGAAGCAGATATCAAGAAATTATAAACTTTTAAGCCCCAGGTGTCTTCGCAGCATACTTTACGTTTGATGAAATCACCATGTGAACAAGGTTGTAGCTAGGCGAAACGTGCCAGGCAAGGATAATAATTCCGTCGTAAGGTTGTGAACTTTTATCAACTGAAGCTACTTCAACACGTGTTGCGCAAGCGTAGGTTGCGTATACACCGCCTACATTGATGTATGATGTTAAGCGAGTAAAATTGGGTTGAGAGAAAGAATACAGATGATAATCAGACCCAGATGTGGCACCACTTTATCAAGCCTAAGCGAGGAAGCAAGATGCAGACTTTTTTGAGATGATGGGGAATATTTGTAGCTCAAGAGGATATTTTTTTTATGGTGTTATATTCTCTGAGCTGGATGGTTTAGTAGTGAAGCTTTAACTATCATTTCAAGCAACATCGGAGCGATAGTCAGGAAGAAATTTGTAGATTTTTGACACTATTGTATAGAGCGGATCAAAAGCTTTAGACTGACATCTCATCTATTTCTGCATGACCTGCATTTCGGAAATAACTACATGTTGACTTAAATCAACCATTATTGTGTATGATCCCGTATTTTGTGCTTGAAATCAGTTGCTTCATTTTCATAAACTGTGCTGCATTGTGGTAAAATAATTTAGCTATGTATATATACAGATGAATGAGATCGCCTGATATATACAGCTAACACGCATCAGACTTTGTGTTCTGATGTTAACGGTTGGGAGCGGAGGATTCCGTGACTCTTCATGTAGGCGGTATGCGTATACGAAACTGGGCACGTGTATTCGAGACCACTCACGTTCATGGTTAGCGTTATTACTGAATAAGAAAAACCACCTGATTTAGTAACTTACAGCTAGATAAAGTTACAGAAAATTGGCGATAGGGTTAACTCAGGAAGATAGTAGTGTAATACCGCGACTTTATGCAAGATCGAACCTGGGACTGGGATGGGTTGTTGGTTGGTTTGTTTCCAGCCAGCTAGAGTTCCTTGTTACTTATTCTCATTAGTCTGGCTGTATGATCTCCATCCTCAGTATCGAGTGAGCGTAGACGGCAGCTGTTGATGTGATGAGTGTCTGTAGTTTGTTGGGAATGCTTTTCGTAACGCGCCAAGTCTCTCAACCATCACATTGAGGCACTGACTTGACTGAATTAGTGGTGAAAATTCGGATATTGTTCACGCTTTATGCTGAAAGCAGTGGAGTGGAGTGGAGTGCAGTGGAGTGGAGTGCAGTAGATATCCACGTTGATTTCAGACTAATGAGGCCCTGTCTTGCTATCTTTCTGATCGTGCCTTTGACATCCTCATGTGTGCCATTACCGCCACCGCCACCGCCACCTGTAGTTGAAGTTGAGACGATGGTGCCTAGGGATGGGGGTAAGAGAGACAACTTGCTTTAGATTTCTCCGGTTGATAGTGATTAGTGCTTGTTGTTGTTGTTGTTGGTTAGGTATTTTCATCTGTCTGTCACCTCTGTCTTCTCTACGTTCACCTGAAGGAAGTCGCGCCTTCGCTGTCCCGCCTCCTCTACTAACTTGTTAGTTTTGCCTGTAAATCTTCGAGTTTGTGTAACAGGACATTAGACATAAATCAGCATCGACGAAATCCAAATCTTCTGGCGTCTTTTCATCGGTCCTGTGTGCAGTTTAGTAACCTGAAAATCGCCGGTTAAAAATTGAATTCCACACATTTCTGAGAATATATATATATATATATATATATATATATATATATATATATATATCAACTACTTATGGGTCAGACGACTGGATAAATAATAAAATCAGCAGCTACGAAAACTAAGTATTTTCAAGCAACCTGTTATATATGCATGTATTGGTGAAAACAGCAACAACACAACAATGCCTTAAACCTACCAGGTAGTAATTCACCAGTTTTTGCAGCTCGAGCATGTTCAAGCATATTAGTCTCTTGATCTGGTGCAAATGCACGAACAAAATCAACTGGATCAATAGATGGAATCGGATACTTTCCAATAGCTAATTCCATTAATGTTAAACCTAGACTCCAGATATCACTAGCTCCATTGAATATTTCACCTAGAATAAATAAATTAGGAAAGATCGAAGAATGAAGGTGCATAGAAATTACTAATACAACTAACACCAAGACTAGTAGAAATGCAACAAATTTAGCTGTTATTTGGTTGATAACATGAAAGACATCCCCATGATGTGATTGTAGTTTTCGATTTGTTACCAAGCCAGTGTTATAGTCTCGAAAAACAAAAATTGTGGCCAATTTGTCTACATGCTCAATTTTCACCTAGTGGGTGTCATGGGTTTTAACCCCGCGTCACTTGCCAAGGTTCCAGCAGCGGAAGAGTATCACTGAACTCATCCACACAGTAAGTGTGGCTCAAAACCTAGTGTTCCAAGTTGGAAATATTTTCTAAATTGTATTACCGCTTGAAAACGCCAAGTTTGATGAAATGGATGATACAGAATCGATCACTAATAAAACAAACCAGAAAAGTCGGCACAACATTCACGGAACACTGTATTTTAACTGAAGTAGGTGTCAAGTACACTATGCAACAGCAGGTAGTAAAATCTACGACATTTAGGTAACAACTATTAATTGATTTCAGAAATTTATCTAAAAAACCTAAGTCTAGACCGATGTATCACGAAAGAAATTATTTTTTGTTGTTAGCTGACTGAGTTGAAACCACTAGTCAGTTTATGAGACATGTGCATCCCCTCCATATTGTATGTTGGTTGCACTGGATAGTGGTTGGCTCTCGAATTCTGGATGCATATTTCTGTCCCATCCTACACTCATCAGTAGGACCAACTTACATCCTAAAGACAACTAGTGTTTCATAATCAACATCGACCTAGTATTACTATTTACTGATATTCTTGTAACTCTCCGTTGTTTTATTGGATCGAATCGTTTGGCCTCAGTAGCATAGTGGACAACGCCTTGACGTTTGAAGTGATGGGTACGAGGTTCGAGTTTTAGTGGGAACAACATCACTCACTGAGGTACAGGTTCACCCAATTGACGAGTCCCAAATAAGACGAAACGCGCGTCCTGGATTCCTCTGTTAGTCACAACCAACAAAATTGATACTGACTTAGCTTTATAGTCTAGTGGACAACCGTATGGTACTCCAATTGATGTGTTTAGGTTTAGGTCTAGAGAAAAAACAACCAACATACTGGGATGAAAGTAAATTCAGTTGAGGAGTCCCGAATATGACGAAGTGATCACTTCAGACTCTAACGAACCTTGAAATCAAATAATGTGACCTCCATAGTTCATTACTAGCTTCTTTGAAATAACATCTAGTTTATAACAGGCATTCACAAGTACTTTCAGGGTCTATAGTTACACACAGAAGTCAGAAGTGTTTACAACAATCTAAAGAAAACACTAGAAGTCAAGGTTGCTGATATTCAGCACCACATTGATCTATCCTATAAAACAGCGGTACTCTAAAAAATGACAGTATTTATTTTCTGCCCCTTGGGGTTAGTGAATCTGTGATATGTATTAAACTAGAGGATATGAAACAAAGAACATCGTAAAATTCTACGAGCCCTGAAGAAAAGGATATTAAATAACTTGGTATAACTTAGCATCAATGTTATAATCTGTTTGATGGCCAGCAGTGGAATTCAGGACGTGTGTTTCGCCCTACTTGGGATTTGTCAGCTAGATATGCCTGCATCCCAGTAAGTGGCGTCGTTCTTATTGAAAGTGAAACCCAGTACGCATCGCTTCAAATATCAAAGCGTTATGCAGTAGGCCACAATCGCCATCAATATTGCATAAATAAAGTCCCTTGAAGAAATTGTCTTCAAAATTTGATACCTTTTATACATTAAAATCCTATAAGTTAATGGATGAAACTAACGAAAGACGGCAACACTTCTGAAAACTTTCCAACTCATATATATACATGATACTTTTGAAGTGATCTTTACAGCATTTATACAAACAATTACCACCAATTTTCTAGAACTATTGTTTCAATAATTGATAACAGAGTCAACTAATAATATAACCATTCTGCATAACATTTCAGTTCTTAAGCGGGTCATTAGTTATCTTAAACTTAAAAAAAAAACTTAATATTTTGAAGTACACTTCACAAGAATCCAAAGAATTACGACCAATTCATCATCCTATGGATGAATTATACCATAAATATGTACCCTAGTACCTGACATAATTGGCTGGGACTATGCGCATGGACCCATATACCACTGAAATCCCATCAATTTGGTTCTATCAAACGATGGGATATTACGAGCAATGACATAAAAAATATACCGGTAGTACATAAAAGTGGTTATCATGACTCATTAGCCTAATGGATAACGCTATGGTGACCGAAGTGATCAGTCATAGATTTCAGTCTCAGTGGGAGCAACATAACTTACTGGACAGGTAGGAACATCATAACGAGTTCAAAATACAACGAAACGTTCGCTCTAGATCCCAGTCCTAGCCACTAGCCATCATTACTACGCCTCATAACTTTAAAAACAACTTGTATAAATAGTATGAGGAAGCGCATAAATACTTATGATTTTATCTATACAGTACAACAGTCGAACAAATTAACTAACATTAAATAGACAGAATAAACGATAGCCAAAATAGAATTACATCGGAAGAAGACGAGGGGTGGTCAAACCATGATGTAACACCAACCTATAGATTTTTCGCCTGTTGGTGCGAGCCATGTAGGGAGATGTAAACTACCTACCTGACTGAAGTCCTCGAGACCAATGGGACTGATGGTTGGAGATTCGTATTGACATCGCCCAAAATCGGTCACAGCGAAGCAGATTTACAAACTTTTCGTCATTTTCGAAGTCTGGAATATTTTTTTTAACCTTCCTCTAAATATTCACTCAACTTTCATACACATTTATCTACCGCAATATCACCTTTTCTGTCTACTTATTCTTTTCATGTTGATGTAAATTGTAACAACTTGAAGTGATGTCCTTCAGTGGCAGGTTTTACGTTGATTCATCTATTTATCTGAGTTGTGGTAGAAATCATGATTAAACTGACTTCATCCTCAAAAACCGCCTTGGTAGGAGACAACTATTTAGAAAATGTACTTTTTACAAACTGTCACCAATTAAATAACTTCGTAGAACTGGGAGACAATGAGCGGCAGTTAAGATGTCTCTCACAGGTTTCCAAAAGTCCGCACTTTTAACGCGATTCAGAACAAACCTTAAGAAACTAAATTTTCACAAAATTCTACTAGCACAAAGCGAGTTAGTGGACTATTGTGTACTTTTCCTGAGTTCCAAAACTTCATTAATTAGAACAGTTTGCATTATGAGACAATGACAACAATAAAAGTAATAACTGAGAGACAATATGTGGATTATTTTATTAGAGTTTTATTCTACTTCATAATGAAATCTCACAAGACACATAAATCAATAGAAGGAAGGTTACTTTCTTTGAGCAGACTCAATTCAACACCACTTCCATTCAATCAACAAGTCATTGAATCCCACTCACCAATCTTATGCACATATGTGCAGTAAGCAATGAGCCCCAACAATTGTATGAGGGCTCATGACACTACCTGGCCACCCAAGTCAGTGTTCGAACCCACTGGTTATAAGTCAACTCCCTAAACCAATGAGCCACCGCTGCACTACGTTTTGTGTGTTTGTACTCGATCAAACGTTTCAGTTTAGCACGAAACCTTTATTTTGTTGTGAAGGTCAAAGAATGTCAAAATATCAGTTCCCTTTTGAACAACCAAAGACATCCTAATGACCTGTAAAACTAACACTATGACAGTGATACGCGGTATATAAATCCCATTTAAAGTTAACTCTTCTTCATAGGATGCTGAATGACTTTATTTCTACTCAGCTGCATAGGCTATTAGATCTTAGCAAACAGGTGCGAAATCCACTCTCATATAAACAATGACTATGTGGAAATTCCGGTATCAAGTATTAATTATCCTTAAAACGAGTACACAGTCTTAAAAGTTCATTAAAATTAACATCAGCCATATAGAAGAGAGTGTTTTTATACAACACGACTTTATCCAATCATCTTGCAGTCCCTCAATACGTATGCTTTAGTATATATATATATATATATATATATATATATATATATATATATATATATATATATATATATATATATATGCTCTCGTAGAACAAAGTATATAGGTCGTTCAATGAGATTGCTATCTTAAACTGTCCAGGGGCTGTACCCCGTGTGGTTATAAAGAGCTGACAGTGAATCCATAAGTGCTACAATTGAACATAACGTAAACACGGGTCACTCTTTCTTAAGAACCTGGTTATTCAAAGTCATCTATTTACAAAACAATGATAAAATTCAGTAAGGCGTTAAAGACGATGATAATGTATGAGTACACTCGTACCACTTTTATCCTATAGACCCTCAATCGAGCAGTCTACATTTCCTTATACGGTTCAAACCAACAGTTAGAGAATTCATGAATGGATGCCATGTTTTAAGCCTGATTGCTTCTAAACTTTTACCAGCCTACACCTACTTTCAGTGTCAAGGAAGACGATGACTAGGCATACGTGACACATGTTTAAGTCGTAGGAGTAGATGAAAGTTCACAACTGCAATAAATGATTTTCCTCTTCAAGCAGGGACTCTAAGCCTGAGAGAGAGAGAGAGAGGGAGCGTATATTGATACAGGAAATCTGAACAATTAACGATAATTTCTATGAACAGATCCATTCCATGTACAACTAGCTAAGATAAAGTTCCTCTTTCATTTAAATCAATGCACACACACGTTCATAAGTATAACCGGTTCTACAAATTCAGCTAGCTACTCTCAGCATAATCCACCTGTATAGTTGAATAAAGCAGAAGTAAAAGTAATCATCAGCTCAGTAAAGATATGTCTGAATGCGACAGACCTACTGAAAAATGGTGACAGTCCTTATCTTCTACAGTTGTAATAAAACATGAATTTTAACTAACACAGCCAAAACACGCTTGCTTAGACTTCGAAACCTTTAGGTAATGAATTACTATCAATGAAACAAATCCAAGTTACTCTTGTTTTTATTTTTGACTATTCTTTAACTACTATTATTATTAAATTATTAGTCCCTTGGGTTCCTAGTGGAACATAGGGCTTCAGTAGCACGTCTCCAGTGACCTCTGTTCTCTGAGATCTTTTGAACCTGGTCCCACGACAGCCCACAAGCTCTCATTTCCTCCTCCCACGACCTCCTCCATGTCACCCTCGGACGTCCAACTCGTCGCTTCCCATGGGGATTCCACTCGAGCTATTGGCCTGACGCGTGATGTCCTCAGTCGGCCTTCTCAGTGCATGCCCAATCCATCTCCACTTCTTCCTGCATATTTGTTGGGTGATAGGTTCTTGGTTGGTTCGTTCCCAGAGTTCCTTGTTGCTTATTCTTTCTGGCCATCTGATCTTCAGTAACGAGCCAGCGTAGGAGGCAGTTGTTGATGAATGTCTGTAGTTTATTGGAAATCCCTTTCGTGACGCGCCTAGTCTCTGAGCCATACAGCAGCACTGACTTGACGTTGGTGTTGAAAATCCGTATCTTGTTCTGCATGCTGAGTGCAGAAGATCTCCACACTGGTTTCAGGCTAATGAACGCCTGTCTTGCTGTTTTTCCGATTCTGACTCTGACGTCCTCGTCCGTCCCGCCTGTAGTTGAAACAGTGCTTCCTAGATAAGTGAAGGAGGTTACTTCCTTCAAGTTTCTCCCGTTGACGGTGATTGGAGTTTGTTGTTGTTGTTGTTGATGGTGGTGGTGCGGTATCTTCATCACTTCTGTCTTCTCTATATTCACCTGAAGTCCCGTCTTCGCTGCCTCTTCTATCAACTTGTTAGTTTTTGCCTGCAGATCTTCAAGTTTATGTGACATTAGGCATAAGTCATCGGCGAAATCCAAGTCTTCTAGGTTCTTTTCCGCAGTCCAGTGTATCCCCCTCTTCTCGCTGCCTACTGTTTGCTGCATGATCCAGTCCACCACAATAAGGAATATCATGGGGGATAGTAGGCAACCTTGTTTCACTCCTGTCTTCACTTCAAAGGCATCACTGAGCTTCCCATTGTGGATTACTTGGCATGTGGCATCTTCATATAGTTGTTGAATGAGGCGGATAAAGGTTTGCGGTACTCCGTAGTATTTAAGCAGTTTCCAAATTACTTCTCGGTCGACGCTGTCAAAGGCCTTCTCAAAGTCGATAAAGTTGAGGTAGAGAGCTGATTGCCATTCTACGCTCTGTTCTATGATGATACGAAGCGTTGCAATTTGGTCTGCACATGATTTGTACTTCCTGAAGCCTGCCTGCCTGTTCCGGTCGCAGTTTTGAATCCAGTGCATCTTTAAGCCTCTCTAGGATGATGCAGCTTAATATTTTACTTGCTCTGGGTGGACAGGAGAGTGATTCCGCGCCAGTTCTTGCAAACACTGAGGTCTCCTTTCTTCGACAGCTTGACAAGGTAACCCTTCTTCCAATCACCAGGTACCTTCTCTTCCTTCCACACCTTCTGCAATAGTGGTGTGAGCATGTCCGCTGTTGTCTCTGCATCTGTTCTCAGTGCTTCTGGCGGTATCCCATCTGGTCCTGCTGCTTTCCCGCATTTCAGCAGCTTTATGGCGTTCAGGACTTCCATTTTTGTTGGGGGATTAATGTTCACTTGTAATTCAGCGGCTGCAGGTGGTATTTCTGGACGAAGTGCAGGTGGTGGTGGTGGTCGATTCAAGAGCTTCTTGAAGTGGTCGGCCCATTGTTTCCTCTGTTTCTCTTCTTTCGTAATTAAATTTCCTTCTTCATCTTTTATTGGTTTCATCTGTGTTGGTCTCTTCCCTGATAGCAACCTGGTTATTTGATGCAATGTTGTCAGGTCTCTCTTACCAGCCTGCAGCCTGTTCTGTTTCACTTGCCAATGTGTCGTAGAAGTGTCTTTTGTCTTTCCGTTCATTCTTCTTCACTTCTCTGTCCAGTGTAGTGTTTTATACATTGTGCTAAGTTCCGCTTGTCGTTGAGCATCCATGCACTGGTTTATCTTCTGCTTCACCATCCTCCTCTCCCTCCTCTATCAGCTTCCACGTACCCGTCGAGATCCATTCCCTGTCCTGTCTTCTTTCTTCCTAATACTGTTGTGCAGGTTTCTTTCCACATAGCTTCCAAAGACTTCCAGTGTTCTTCCACACAGGTTTCTTCGGGGATGTTGCTCGATGTCTCCCATTTTGTCTTGATGGCTGCCTTGAAGATCTCCTTTGTAGTTTCATCCTTCAGTTTCCGAGTGTTGTACTTGAATTGAGGTCTATCACCAGCTTCCTTGAAGGCTTTTAACTTGATTTCGAAGGTTCTTTGCACTAGATGGTGAGTGGTCTGAACCTACATCTGCTCCTCTTCTTGACCTTGTGTTAAGTAGACTGCGTCTCCATTTTCTTGAGATTGAGATAAAGTCGATTTGATTTTTAGTGTGTCCATCTGGTGAATGGTGAAATCCATGTCGCTTTGTCGATATCTTTGTGCCTGAACACACTGCCTCCAATCACCAAATCGTTGAATGCGCAGAATTCTGCAAACAATTCTCCATTCTCGTTCATTTCACCTAGCGCCTCTCGACCCATGGTTAGCTCTCTTCCCGTGTTGTCCCCTCCCAGTTTGGCATTCATGTCACCCATTACAATTTTGATATCGCCAACTGACGTCTTGTCCAGTGTTGATTCAAGTTGTCTGTAGAATTCCTCCTTTTTCTCTTGCTCTGCATTATTTGTAGGTGCATAACATTGTATGATTGTGACCTTTCTTCCTTTTGAGTTGAATCTTGCTGTCATGATCCTGGAGGAGATTGGTTCCCACTGCATGAGAGCCTTCGATGCTCTTGAGGACATCATGATAGCCACTCCAAAACTCAGTGTGCTCGTGGTTGTCGTCTGGGTGACAATATCGGAGTAGATTATTGATTCTCCAGTTGACAGTTTGGAGAGTCCACTCCCATTCCATCTGCTTTCGCAAATCCCAAGCACTTCGATGTTATACCTTCTCATCTCCTTTGCAATCTGGGCTGCCTTACTGGGTTCAAACATCGTACGGACATTCCATCTCCCCACGTTTACTTTCGCTTTCATCGAGACAAGACACATCGGCCAATTGGCTTCCCGAAGGCTTTCACCAACTGGCGTCATTTCGCCTCTCCCATTCCAGCGGGGAATAAGTTTGTTTTCATTTTTTATATTTTGTTTGTGCTTTGAAGTTTCTTTAGCGGTTAGATTTGTTTTACGGGGTAGGGTTGCTAGCCCTATGCCCAACCTTCCCTCTTTACCCGGGCTTAGGACCGGCTAGTAACTAGTGAACTAGTTAACCAGGCGAGGTTTTTAACTACTATGAACATTATTATTAAATATTTATGAGTAGCCGTTTCTACTTTATTGAGTATACGCTTTTGTTAACCTAAAATATGAATCACCGCAGGATTCCAACCAATAACCAGATATACATCCATGGATGTTAGTTGGTTACAAGTAATCGGCAGGAAACCCACTGAGATTCAAACCAGTGTCACCCAGTGTTGTAGTCAACAATGTTTCTATAGCAATCCCATTGAGGTTGGAGAAACGCCTTGTTGATGAGTGCCAATAGGTACAAAACCTAAGTTACGGGTTTCTTTTTCATCACTACCGATTAAATAACATCAATCGAAGTGCATCGTCATGATCAACCTACTGTCTTGTTGACCAGATTACAAAATGATCTAAAAAATTAAGTCAGCATTCAGAACTACACAACATGAAATCGGTTGCTCTTCACAGACTAATCAATATATGTATATTTATTTCTGTTTCACTTCGTAGTTTAATCTTGATATTTTAACACCGTATTGTACACAAATTTTCATATTTAAAAGCTGAGTATGGTGGGAATTGCGCGCTTAAGTTAACTGTTTTCTCATAGTTATTACACAACTTTTCTAAGAATCATTAAAACATTCATCACATACAAACTAAATATAAAAGACGAAAACAAAAAAGTTAAAATAATACACATTTGCTAACAATAAACTTACCAGCTAGACGTTCAGGTGCCAGGTAGGTGGAGAACCCCAAAAATCCAGAAGCCACATATTCACTCAATTGTAAACTTACAACAAAATCGCATAATTTGATTATACCAGCACGATTAATAAGTATATTTGAAGGTTTCAGATTGCTAAAAAAAATGATGATAGAAAGAAATAACAGTAGCAATGCTAACAGTAAGCCAGTGAAATTCTGCTAATTGATTTAGAACAAAGCCAAATCAACAAACATTTTTATTCTCTATATTAATGCTCGAAAACACACCTTAGTACTAAATACTTAATTAAGTAGTTTGTAAAGATTCGCTGAAATAACAAGCACAGACGAATCCCGTCATAGTTTACTTTAAAAGTAAACAAAAATTTCGTTTTAGCACACATATATCGAATAAGAATTACAGAATAATGCAGTGTTATATATAGTGATGATAAATGCCGGTAAATAATGAAGCGTTCATAGCTATTTCCAGCATATGTGAGCTAGGGGGAGCTGCTTTATACACCAAACAGCCATTTTACTAGCATAAAGAGGATTTTGTAATTAAGCACTGGAATCTTCATTTACACATCAACAAAACGAACAAATTACCAAAAATCCACAATAAAGTCCCATTCAGTTGTGAAGCTCAACTCTTGAACAGTAAATTGCACTTGTTTATACTCAAGAACTTGTGATCTACTGATCATTTAAACGGAGATAAAAGGTCCTGATAATTCGCACACCGCAACAATACAAGTAGGCGGCTAGGCCTGTGTGAAACTGCATAGTCCTATACATATTCCTACTCAAAATTTATTTCCAAAGTACATCTATTGGAATATACAGACGCCATAAATGATAACAGATAGATAAATCAACGTAGAACATGGTAGTACATCAAGTTGCTACACTTCACATCAACATGAAAAGAATAAGTAGACAGAAAAGGTGATATTGCGGTAGATAAATGTGTATGAAAGTTGAGTGAATATTTAGAGGAAGGTTAAAAAAAATATTCCAGACTTCGAAAATGACAAAAAGTTTGTAAATCTGCTTCGCTGTGACCGATTTTGGGCGATGTCAATACGAATCTCCAACCATCAGTCCCATTGGTCTCGAGGACTTCAGTCAGGTAGGTAGTTTACATCTCCCTACATGGCTCGCACCAACAGGCAAAAAATCCATAGGTTGGTGTTACATTATGGTTTGACCACCCCTCGTCTCCTTCCAGGTTAATCCTACTTTGGCTAATATTGCACGTTAAAAGAAGTGGTGGCTGCGCATATGAAACACATGTCCAAGCCCCTTTCAGTCAATGCAGGTCCACACTAAGATTGACTGATTTGCCTTCTTCATCCAGTATCTTACAGTTAACTTTATTGCTGTACAAACACTGGCTCTGTCAAACGCGAGCATCGCTACGAAGACACCTGTGGTTAGAAAACTGTGACCTTTTCACATATTCTACTTTCAGTTGGCATGTCTTACTGTCGTATAATAGGACAAAGTGAACCATAGTGAAATATATTTGTTGGTTAGTCAGTGTTCGGATATGCCACAGGTGGTAGAACTGACGTAAGTTGTCAGATGTTGAACAATTTTACTGAAATTGTTATGCCATATATCATCAGAGTAAATGCTACGTTCAGAAATGTGATACTATTGGATGAATCCATGGGACCCTAACACCAGGAGATTAAGTGAGAGGCTACAATCAAGAAGGGGAAATAACTTCGAGATGAAAATAAATATAAGGAACGTTTCAGTTATCAGGCTACCTCTCTTTGCTCACCATATAATGCTATAGAATGATTTCGAAAGTGAGAAGTGCTTTCATAGAGAACAACGATGAAAATTTCCGCTTACTGATAACTACGTATGATCAGACACATAATATTCAGTCACATTCTTTTGACAGGTTTCATATATTTGAGTGGCAGTTTTGCTTCAACAATTAACCTTTTAATAGTTCATCTGTGGAACAGTCATACCTCCAATGCAATCTATCAAGAATCTTCATCTCGTGATCGGTTACCATTCAATTATACATCATTCCGAAATAGCCAACCAGTGAATGGCATTTAATCAACCCAGGTTGAGTTCATAAGAGTAGAATTTTCGAGATTCACTGCATGCAACACATGAATTAATCTCCAGTATCGTAGCCAACTTGAAGATATTTCCCTTGAAGTTATCAACCGACTTCTTTGGTTGTCTCACGAACCCAAATCAAAAAGTGTAGACTTTTCTACACAGATCGGACTAGTAGCATAAGCATAACCTACCCACCCCCTAGGCTTTTTGTTTACTTCTGCTCCTAATTTATCCAGTAAAATACATTCGGTTGATCGGCGGTCAGACATTTCCAGGACGTCAATCAATAAGTAATGTAATTCTTTTATACTAAACACCATTTTCCACAAAGGTAAAATCAAGCTAACAATGCACCGAAAAATGACCTACCGATGAAACATATGCAGCTCTTGCCAAAGGTACAGAAGGCCTGAAACAACTGAATCAGCAATATGAATAATAATTGGTTCAGGAAAGCGTCCAACCATGCGTAATAGTAAATCCATTCCACCAACATCCATATACTCCATGTAAATACTTATTAGGCATTCAGAATGTATGGCTCCGTGAAATTCAATTATGTTCGGTGATATACACTCCCAAAGAACCTATTCGTTGAATTCATAAACGACATTGACAATATCCAGAACTAGGAACACACATGTGAATGCAACTCATGAAATATTTATCATAAATAATTACTTTATTCCCTTGGGTTCCTAGTGGAACATAGGAATTCAGTAGCACGTCTCGATTTCACTCTGTTCTCTGAAGTCCTCCTAACTTGGCTCCAACACTGCTCACAAGCTTTCATTTTCTCCTCACATCATCTCCTCTATGTCACAGTTGCCTCGGACCCCAAACTCGCCGTTTCCCATTTAGCTTCTACTCGAGGACCTGGCCTGGCACGTGATGTCCCCGATTGGTCTTCTCAGTGTATGCTCGATCCACTTCCACTTTCTTCTGCATATTTGTTGGGTGATGGGTTGTTGGTTGGTTTGTTTCCAGCCAGCTAGAGTTCCTTGTTACTTATTCTCATTAGTCTGGCTGTATGATCTCCAGCCTCAGTATCGAGTGAGCGTAGACGGCAGCTGTTGATGTGATGAATGTCTGTAGTTTGTTGGGAATGCTTTTCGTAACGCGCCAAGTCTCTCAACCATCACATTGAGGCACTGACTTGACTGAATTAGTGGTGAAAATTCGGATATTGTTCACGCTTTATGCTGAGTGCAGTGCAGTACAGTACAGTAGGTTTCCACATTGATTTCAGATTAATGAGGCTCTATCTTGCTTTTCCCATCCTGGCTTTGACACCCTTATGTGTGCCGCCACCGCCACCTGTAGTTGAAACGATGCTGCCTAGGTGGTAGGTGAAAGAGACTATTTTTTCCTTCAGATTCCTCCCGTTCATGGCGACTGGTGCAAGTTGTAGCTGGTTGGGTATCTTCATCACCTCTGTCTTCTCTATGTTCACCTGAAGGAAGTCGCGCCTTCGCTGCCTCGCCTCTTCTGCCAAATTGTTAGTTTTTGCCTGTAGATCTTCGAGTTTGTGTAACAGGACATTAGACATAAATCATCATCGGCGAAATTCAGATCTTCTAAGGTGTTTTCATCGGTTCAGCATATACCCCTATTCTCACCTCTCACAGTTATCGTAAATTAACTGTAGCTATAATACTAGCTATGCTAAGTGGTATGACATCATATTAAATGCTAAAGTTTTGCACAAAATCATCAGGGATACCTAAATTCACTCTGTCTATTAATGACATAACCTAATATACATTGGTGAAGGCATGAGCAATAGAATCTAGATTTCACCCTTGATAATTGCTCAATTCCTTGAGAAATAAGAAAAGCGGTAAGAGAGCAGGTGTTTAGTAACATCAAACGTATTTAGGAAATACAGTATTATTATTATTATTAGTCCCTTGGGTTACTAGTGGAACATAGGGCTTCAGTAGCACGCCTCCAGTGACCTCTGTTCTCTGAGATCTTTTGAACCTGGCTCCACGACAGCCCACAAGCTCTCATTTCCTCCTCCCACAACCTCCTCCATGTCACCCTCGGACGTCCAACTCGTCGCTTCCCATGGGGATTCCACTCGAGCTATTGGCCTGACGCGTGATGTCCTCAGTCGGCCTTCTCAGTGCATGCCCAATCCATCTCCACTTCTTCCTGCATATTTGTTGGGTGATAGGTTCTTGGTTGGTTCGTTCCCAGAGTTCCTTGTTGCTTATTCTTTCTGGCCATCTGATCTTCAGTAACGAGCCAGCGTAGGAGGCAGTTGTTGATGAATGTCTGTAGTTTATTGGAAATCCCTTTCGTGACGCGCCTAGTCTCTGAGCCATACAGCAGCACTGACTTGACGTTGGTGTTGAAAATCCGTATCTTGTTCTGCATGCTGAGTGCAGAAGATCTCCACACTGGTTTCAGGCTAATGAAGGCCTATCTTGCTTTTCCGATTCTGACTCTGACGTCCTCGTCCGTCCCGCCTGTAGTTGAAACAGTGCTTCCTAGATAAGTGAAGGAGGTTACTTCCTTCAAGTTTCTCCCGTTGACGGTGATTGGAGTTTGTTGTTGTTGTTGTTGATGGTGGTGGTGCGGTATCTTCATCACTTCTGTCTTCTCTATATTCACCTGAAGTCCCGTCTTCGCTGCCTCTTCTATCAACTTGTTAGTTTTTGCCTGCAGATCTTCAAGTTTATGTGACATTAGGCATAAGTCATCGGCGAAATCCAAGTCTTCTAGGTTCTTTTCCGCCGTCCAGTGTATCCCCCTCTTCTCGCTGCCTACTGTTTGCTGCATGATCCAGTCCACCACAATAAGGAATATCATGGGGGATAGTAGGCAACCTTGTTTCACTCCTGTCTTCACTTCAAAGGCATCACTGAGCTTCCCATTGTGGATTACTTGGCATGTGGCATCTTCATATAGTTGTTGAATGAGGCGGATAAAGGTTTGCGGTACTCCGTAGTATTTAAGCAGTTTCCAAATTACTTCTCGGTCGACGCTGTCAAAGGCCTTCTCAAAGTCGATAAAGTTGAGGTAGAGAGCTGATTGCCATTCTATGCTCTGTTCTATGATGATACGAAGCGTTGCAATTTGGTCAGCACATGATTTGTACTTCCTGAAGCCTGCCTGCCTGTTCCGGTCGCAGTTTTGAATCCAGTGCGTCTTTAAGCCTCTCCAGGATGATGCGGCTTAATATTTTACTTGCTCTGGGTGGACAGGAGAGTGATTCCGCGCCAGTTCTTGCAAGCACTCAGGTCTCCCTTCTTCAGCAGTTTGACAAGGTAACCCTTCTTCCAATCACCAGGTACCTTCTCTTCCTTCCACACCTTCTGCAATAGTGGTGTGAGCATGTCCGCTGTTGTCTCTGCATCTGTTCTCAGTGCTTCTGGCGGTATCCCATCTGGTCCTGCTGCTTTCCCGCATTTCAGTAGCTTTATGGCGTTCAGGACTTCCATTTTTGTTGGGGGATTAATGTTCACTTGTAATTCAGCGGCTGCAGGTGGTATTTCTGGACGAAGTGCAGGTGGTGGTGGTGGTCGATTCAAGAGCTTCTTGAAGTGGTCGGCCCATTGTTTCCTCTGTTTCTCTTCTTTCGTAATTAAATTTCCTTCTTCATCTTTTATTGGTTTCATCTGTGTTGGTCTCTTCCCTGATAGCAACCTGGTTATTTGATGCAATGTTGTCAGGTCTCTCTTACCAGCCTGCAGCCTGTTCTGTTTCACTTGCCAATGTGTCGTAGAAGTGTCTTTTGTCTTTCCGTTCATTCTTCTTCACTTCTCTGTCCAGTGTAGTGTTTTATACATTGTGCTAAGTTCCGCTTGTCGTTGAGCATCCATGCACTGGTTTATCTTCTGCTTCACCATCCTCCTCTCCCTCCTCTATCAGCTTCCACGTACCCGTCGAGATCCATTCCCTGTCCTGTCTTCTTTCTTCCTAATACTGTTGTGCAGGTTTCTTTCCACATAGCTTCCAAAGACTTCCAGTGTTCTTCCACACAGGTTTCTTCAGGGATGTTGCTCGATGTCTCCCATTTTGTCTTGATGGCTGCCTTGAAGATCTCCTTTGTAGTTTCATCCTTCAGTTTCCGAGTGTTGTACTTGAATTGAGGTCTATCACCAGCTTCCTTGAAGGCTTTTAACTTGATTTCGAAGGTTCTTTGCACTAGATGGTGAGTGGTCTGAACCTACATCTGCTCCTCTTCTTGACCTTGTGTTAAGTAGACTGCGTCTCCATTTTCTTGAGATTGAGATAAAGTCGATTTGATTTTTAGTGTGTCCATCTGGTGAATGGTGAAATCCATGTCGCTTTGTCGATATCTTTGTGCCTGAACACACTGCCTCCAATCACCAAATCGTTGAATGCGCAGAATTCTGCAAACAATTCTCCATTCTCGTTCATTTCACCTAGCGCCTCTCGACCCATGGTTAGCTCTCTTCCCGTGTTGTCCCCTCCCAGTTTGGCATTCATGTCACCCATTACAATTTTGATATCGCCAACTGACGTCTTGTCCAGTGTTGATTCAAGTTGTCTGTAGAATTCCTCCTTTTTCTCTTGCTCTGCATTATTTGTAGGTGCATAACATTGTATGATTGTGACCTTTCTTCCTTTTGAGTTGAATCTTGCTGTCATGATCCTGGAGGAGATTGGTTCCCACTGCATGAGAGCCTTCGATGCTCTTGAGGACATCATGATAGCCACTCCAAAACTCAGTGTGCTCGTGGTTGTCGTCTGGGTGACAATATCGGAGTAGATTATTGATTCTCCAGTTGACAGTTTGGAGAGTCCACTCCCATTCCATCTGCTTTCGCAAATCCCAAGCACTTCGATGTTATACCTTCTCATCTCCTTTGCAATCTGGGCTGCCTTACTGGGTTCAAACATCGTACGGACATTCCATCTCCCCACGTTTACTTTCGCTTTCATCGAGACAAGACACATCGGCCAATTGGCTTCCCGAAGGCTTTCACCAACTGGCGTCATTTCGCCTCTCCCATTCCAGCGGGGAATAAGTTTGTTTTCATTTTTTATATTTTGTTTGTGCTTTGAAGTTTCTTTAGCGGTTAGATTTGTTTTACGGGGTAGGGTTGCTAGCCCTATGCCCAACCTTCCCTCTTTACCCGGGCTTAGGACCGGCTAGTAACTAGTGAACTAGTTAACCAGGCGACGTTTAGGAAATACAGTGGTAAACATATATTTACAATGGCCTTGTTTATCTGTAGACCTTTCCAGAAAAGCATTTCCTATTGATTTTTTTTCTCTTCCATCGATATGACATGAGTCTCTTCTCGAAAATTTGGAGTTTGTCGATTGATCGTGAAGGATTTCAAGGATCGAGAGCTTCTCTGAAAGATCTGGGTAATTACACTGAACATCATAACATTATCAAACTCAGTGAAGCTTACACAATATAACCGATTTGAAAAAGGATTGAAATGGTATGCCTAAGCCAGCTTCTTCCATAGACAGTAGTACTTCATTAATACTGCTTCCTATATGAGTTCGGATACTGACCAAAGAAAACGTGAATTATGCCGTATTCGTAAACAGGTTTTTATTTTCAGTGTCAAAATTATAAATAAATTCTCACGATTGCTTTCCAACTTTTAGTTAGTACCTAACACAAAATAAATGTGTATGATTCAAAAATCAAAGTTAGAATCAAAACCTAGACAATGAGCAGCACCTGTTGTATAAAGGCTGATGACTCTAGTTGGAGGCCTGAGCCTCGGGAAGTTTGGGCACATGACCCAGATAGTTAAAAAGTGAAACACCTGAGTAAACATGCCAGGGTTTCCCGAAAAACTATATTATTTCCATAGTCGGGGTTGAGAACTTTTCATCGGGTAACATGTTTACACCATCACGACGCACCTCTTTTAGAAGATGTCTTTAGAATGTCACCTACGACATAGCTAAGGAGTAATGGCGAAATAGTACAACTGTGCTGAAACTTATTATTAGTCTGGAACAATGGATGGAGGTGGCTGTATGCATTTATTTTACCTGCGGTGTTGAAGCGTAGGGCTTTTAAGATATTAACAAACAATCTTTCACGGATACCATTTTCTAATAGGGAATTCCAAAATACAGCCCTATTCATCGAATCAAAAGCAGCCCTAGTAACGAAGACTACAATAATCGTTTACCTGCAATACAGTTGATGGTATGTGAGCGTCTGACAAAATAACAGTGACACTGACCAAAACCAACGTAATTAACGGACCAATAAAACGTGAATGAATCTGCCTGGTTAAGGGCGAATATTTTACATGAAAAATATTAACCGATCAGCTGTCACTTTGTCTGATTTATGAAACGGTTTGGCAACTCAAGACGAGCAGCTTGGTGAAGTAAACATCCATATTGTTGTACCAGTCGAAAAATGATAAGCATGATTTTCTTAAGTATTTGCGGTCGCATTTTTCAATATATTTGAAAACACATTTTACTTAAGACTTGATAGTATTTTGTTCTGCAGTATTATAAGTGAACGATATAATTTTCCAGCGCGGTACGATTTACGACAGAACAATGAATTCTCAACACGATACTCAGCTGACACCAGAAGAAAAAGACAATGGGATTAAAGGTATATTTACTTCAACCGAATAATGCAATTATAGCTGAAAGTTCAGTCGTTTATATACTTTTTTAAGGGCTTTGAACCAGGGAAAACAAAATGGATCAGACAACCGTAACAAATAGCATTATTCTATAGCTCTGACTGACCCTTCATGCATTTCTAAATAACTAATAATTCTGAAGTAATTGCCTATCTAATGTAATTAATTATATATCATCTCGTTTCCTTTGCATGTAAACAGTTGTTTCATTTTTATGAATTAAAGTGTTTCATGGAGTTGGAAATTCAGTTGTGCATACAAATGACTCCGATTGCCGAAATACACAGATAATAAGAAAAAGATTTTGTATTGCGTTAAACAAGGTTGACAAGGCCAAATTGTGTAACTCATCATGTTAGTGAATTGAGCATACTTAGGAGACATATGCGAGATTAATCATTTGCAAGGTCAGTCTTATAGGTGAATCAGAAAAACCACTTCGTTAAGACAAGTACTACTAAGCAGAGATACAACATATGTAAATGATAGCGAAAATCCATAGCTAAGATGCAAAAATAACGACAATATAAGGATAACAGATGGAATGATTGAGTAGAAAGTTCATTACAAAGTGAATTTCGTTACTTGCAGTAAGAGATTCAGTCAGTGTATTGCAGTACTCATTGTTAGTGTGTTGATTCATAATTCGATATAGTTATGTACAAAGTAAAATGAAACCAAACCACTGAATAATTTTTCTGTCTAACAGCTGTGTGTTGAGTAATGCAGTTACTAAACAACAAAAATATGAAACCATCTCATATCTCACCACTCTTTTATCTACATTAATTAGTATTGTAGAATGTCTGTCAAATATAAAGCAAACAGAATAACAGTAGCAGAATTAGCATGTATGCATTCCGTGGATTTTCTCCAGCTGCTCCACAGCCCATAGAATATAATGTTTTGAATTTTTATTTCTAAAGTGCTATACAACCTACTTTTATGAATTGAAAAGAATGTGTATATTGAAATGGAAGGTAACTTCATCAATCTCGGTCAATCTAAGTCTTTGTTACCCTGCATCTCAAAGAAAACATTCTTTTCAATTCATGAAAGTAGGTTGTGCAACATGCTTTATATCATAAACATAATATTCTATAAGATTATTGCGTGTATTTTACCGTCGTTGGTTGAACCGAATTGATCGGTATCTATTGACATATGAGCTCCTGCACAGATGCCTCGATATTACCTGCATTTTTAATTATATAGTAATGGTGAATAGTAGCTGGCAGTGGAATCTAGGATGTGCATTTCATTCTATTTAGGACTCCTTAGCTGGATGTGGCCCGGTGGTCTAGTGGGTAGCGCTCTGGCGTCTGAAACGGTCGGTTCCGAGTTCGAACCCCGGTGGAGGCAATATTACTGAGGTGGGTACATCCAGCTGACGAGTCCCAAGTAGGACGAAGTGCCCATCCTAGATTCCACTGCTAGCCACTACTCATCATTACTACATAATGTTCTATAGGTTGTAAAGCAACTGAGGAGAAACTAAGAAACACATACACGCTAACTCTCATACTATTGTTCTTCTTGCACTGTTCCCTTTCGTAAGAGGGAAGAATTATCAGTAGGAAAAGAGACAAACAAGCTCACCTCGTCCCAGCAACGTTTCCTAATTTTCCACTGATTTATTTTTAGTACTCCGAATAAATAACGTGAAAAAACTCAAAACTCGCTTGATAGTTGAAATTAACAAAAATAGTATTGCGAACTGATAGTATGCTTATCTGATTCCCTTCAGCTGGCATCTAATCTACTCTACTCCTACTCTGTATTCGGATGATGCTATTGTGTGAGTTATACATAAATATTACGAGTCTATTGTGTCATATCACATTCTATAAAAAGAGGACGTAATAATATGGATAATGATAATAAATCAACGAACCTGCAAATCTCTCACAATCTGTGCCCTTGTAGTTGTCTTCACATCTAGTTCAAATGTTTTCCTAATCAATAAGGTACCAGATGGTTTATGTCGTAATTTTGTCACAACTCCACCATTACCTCGTCCCAATTCAGATATCAATAGTAAATCATCTATATTGAAATCTGGTACTAAACGTCGACGACCAGAATCTCCTGGGCTTGAAGTTTGCGAATACTCTATGGATGTAGCATTCGATGAACTACTCAACGAGTTTTTATTGTTAACTGGACTTTTAGATCTTGTGACTGATTGATGTGTTGTTCGACTGTCATTAGTTGGCTTGGAATTTAAAGTTGTACAGCTAAACAGAAATTCGAATAAAGAAATACTTCATAACATTATGACTGAATACTTTATACTGGTATATTTCCTGTTACTCATAACTAAACAATTAAAAAAAACCATTTATAGAATGTATTATATGCTAATGTTGAGAACAGGTAAGCTGCAAAACAATGCAATGACTCAAAGTACAAAGATATTATCGGCAGGATGAGAAAAATTTTCAAAGTAAATTCAAAGACGGATATGTGAAGACTAGCCACTTCAATAGCACAACACAATCTTTGTAAGCTCAGTCGTCTAGGCAGAACGTTCAACCAAACTGAAAGTGAAAGAAATTTAAGAGTCGCTTTATTGGAAACAAAATCCAGAACATAATGAGTAGTGTTATAGTCTTTATGATTTCTGTAACGGTATGATTTCCATGTTAGTCGACTAGTACCTTCAGTTTATGAAAGGGTGAGGTAAGATCCACTTCATGGAATAAGTTATAGATACTAAATAGCTGGAGGAAAATAACGAAATACACTCGGTTAACACAAGTAGGCGTTTTTAGCAGATAGTCAGCTACACATACTGTATGAGAACTAACGATACTACCTGGCCACCTAGATACCAGTAAGTGGAGCAGAGAGTGAACGTGTGACAATGATGGATAGATCAGTGAAAAACAACTCCAAACAGTTGGAGAACAACTCAGCAGTTTAACTATTTTAGCTTCTGGTTACAGAAGCTGCACGAAGATTACTATAGCTAAACGAATCTTCAAACGCTATCCTTCACGGCTGTCTAAAGGAGAGTGTAAAGTGACAAACAGCTCAATTCTTGAGGATTTGGTTAACTCTGGTCACGAGAATCTTCTTCCAAAGTCATTTATAAAGTGAAATCAGACATTTCGAAAGCAGCGCGCATTCGCCACCAAAACATAGGAGCGCCTTTGACAATCCAATGGTTCAAGCCTGATCTTCGCGTTCAAAAGAGATACATTAAATCTTTAATTTTACCTTGGTCGTAATCTCCTTAAGACATTTTATTCGTTTCTTTGTTTATTTATCTTAATCCTATAAGCAATTTTGATGACCATGGGTTGACCTTCTAGTTTTTATCACATGCGACTTTATTGACCCATTAGCTATTGATGGAGATAAATATTTCATTGCAACTATGAATACGATTGCACAGCTTCTAAATATGATTCGTCGAAGAGAAAATTTTCTTCCTCGAACTGTCTTTTGTTAATTACGATGGAAATATTCTGAAGTTTCTCATTGAATATGGATAATACCACCGTAGTAAAACACATCACGGATCGACATTGGCTAAAGAATCATTGAAAATATAGGAGTAGTGGAGAGTTGTTTCGCGAAAAATAAAATGTGAACTACTGGACTTCAACTAAGTCGGTGAATGGTAGCTTCCTCCATACGAGACCTGACATGGTTGTTCTCTGCTGAAGAGTTCCATATTAGGAAGGAAAGGAACAGCTGTCTAGTGCTCGCAAGTTTTTAATGGTTCATCAAAAGATATCAGTTTGTGAAAAGTACAACCTTGAAGTTAATCGATCCCACAAACCACTGACCAAATAGTCTTGAATACGTTTGCTAATCTTAAAGCGAAACATCTAGTCCAAGAAAAACCAAACCATTAAAACATAAACCGTTGAATATATAAACCTTTTGAAAACTATGACTATTGGGAATCCTTTGAAGTAAATAGTCAGAAAACAAAATTAAAAACGTAAATTAGCGAATGATAAAGAGTTTAGTTGTTTACTGAAAAGCACTTACACATCTGTTTCATCTGTGAAAGACTCTGAGATAGTAATAGAGATTACTTCAGGTGGTGTTTCTTCAATTATTATCTAAAGTGTACACAGAAAAATAGTAATGTATCATTACTGGTAACATGAGGTATAACAATAGTGATACCAAAAAGGAATATCATAATGTAATAATAATACACAGTGAAATAGTGGAAGATGTGGAGATTACCACCTGACAGATATATAAAGGAAAAGGTCATGAAGCAGCTATGAAGATATAATCTACATTCAACTTCCCTAGACTTTAAAGAAGCAATATATACAAGCATATCATTTGGGCATTGTTGTAAAATGTAAATCTATATTAGATTAGTTTATCTAATACACTACATAGTGGAATAGTATTATTTAGTGGATGACATTTCGAGCACAATTCAATATCCAGAATCACATAAGGGAAATGATAAAAGTTTCAATCAAAACACGAGTATACTGCTCTGTAGGTCATTCTGTACCGTCGAACGGATGTGAGATATGACAGTTGGAAGTAGAAGACATCAGGCAGTTACAGGATTTTGATCACAGATATCTTCGTATCCTTACTCACGTTTGGTGGAATCAACATGCGAGGAATGTTGAAGTCAGGGAAACTGTAATAAGCAAGACACTCAAGCCAATTGATAAGGTTGTAAACCTTAGTCGACTGAGATGTCTTGGACATGTACTGTGCATGCCCAGCCACCTCCTACCTCGATGTACCATGCTAGGGGAAGTTGGATTAGGTTGGAAGCGGATTCAGAGTGGCCATACCAAGAAATGGCACAAGTCAATGAAGTCTCTGACTGTTGGTCTGAGTCATGTAGGGAGATTTAAACTGCCTGGTTGAGGTCCCCGAGACGATAGCAATCAGTGGTTGAGAACTCTTGGTGACAAAGCTGAAAACTCGTCACAGTGTTGTAGACATATCCACTCCTTGATATCTTCTGAAGCTTGAATATTTGCATAAACCTTTATCTTCAGATTGTTTATTCTCTCACACAACTTCGTTTATTTTTATACCACCCTTTTTCTATCCACCTGTTCTTTGTGTACTACTGTAAGTGTCGCAAGTTGAGCCGATGCACTTGTGTTTGAGGTTCTACGTCGATTTTGTCGGTCTGTCTGTCTGCTGCATTTGAACCAGCAGCCTCAGAGTCATCAACTCAGAACTCTACCAACTAAGCTGAGTGTTTATCTCACCTTCAATAACTTTCAGCAATCCGATTTCCCCTAGCATGGTACATCGAGGTAGGAGGTGGCTGGGCATGCACAGTACATGTCCAAGACATCTCAGTCGACTAAGGTTTACAACCTTATCAATTGGCTTGAGTGTCTTGCTTATTACAGTTTCCCTGACTTCAACATTCCTCGCATGTTGATTCCACCAAACGTGAGTAAGGATACGAAGATATCTGTGATCAAAATCCTGTAACTGCCTGATGTCTCCTACTTCCAACTGCCATATCTCACATACGATTAACAGGACAGAAAGGACTGCAGCGCTGCTGCAGGTCAGGTTTTCATTTCACCTTGTCATCACCCAGTACCATTAATACCAGTGTGACGAACTACATCTACCTCAGATATTCTCAACAATAAGGAAATAGTTCTACAACATGCTCAAGAAAGACAGGTAACCCGGTTCAAAATCGTCTACAGTGACGTAAATACACCTCATTTTCAATGGATTCAAATATCTTCCCTCATTCTTTCATAGTACTTGATTCTTTTGGTGTTGATCGCCGTTGTGGCAACTTGAATTGAAGCACATCTGTGTGAGGTTCTATATTGATTCTGTCTGTCTATCTTTGTAGTATGGTTTTCTAAAGACAAGATCAGCACAACCTTAGTAACAAATACACTCTAAACAAAATAATACACTATGAAGAAATATTATAGCAAATGAGAAATAACAGAACTACCAAGGAGTGGAAAATGCACACAAAATACTTCTATAAAGCTTTTAATGCCTCTACATCACTCCTTAAAAGTAGAGGATATAGTAAAGCTATAATATGATCAAGATTAAATTTAATTTTGAGCAATATCTGTAACAGCTTAACTGCTGAATTCTAGCCACGAAGTTTTGAAACACCAACCCAACGCAATTATCCTTCATCGCAACGAAAAACGTCATTAACTGATAACGTCCCCTTTTCCTCTAAATATTCTCAGAGCAAGCAAACACTGGACAGTAAGTGAACCGTTGAGAAGAAGTGCATAAACGTAGCCAAACCACCATAGCTTCTTTAAAGATGATTTGGTTGGTTGAACAGCGATGTTTTTCATAGTCAAAACTGAAATTCACTAACGCAGCACTACCACTGAATATGAGGAGTGTTACGGATCTGTAAGTGATCAAGCACCTAAAGATTCTGAACACCCCGGGTTTAGGAAAAAGCTTACAGCAGTAGGAGAACGGAAATGCCCACACTTAAACGTTGTAAACGCAACTTTTACAGCCAGACTCACATCACGATGATGTTGAATCCAAACCAGATTTGCATCGGACAACGGGGTTCTCTACATATGGAGATTGACCTCAATGATGAGAACCTGATGCCATATTTACAGACACAGATCGTCAACTGACCAGATGTGATGAGTAGTTTTTGTGTCGCCAAATAGTGATTTTGTGTGATGCTTTACGCTGGTCAACGTGCTCATAGCATAGTTAGAAAATATCATTCAAGTACTTCGGATTGAGGTCTTCTCCAACAACTATTAACCTACCATACACTTCCCTTTGAGGTATTTCAAGAATGCTACAAATGGGGACAACCCTGTCTGAGCTAAGTGATGGTTAGACACGACAGAGAATTATTTGCATATTCTTAATTTAATATGACTGTTTTTATACGGTTATCAAGATGCTAACAAACTTCCTAAGGATATCCATCTAAAGCAGGCAATCCTAAGGTGCAGTCTTAGCCAACAAATAGAACCCAGTTAGGAAACCCGTGTGGTGACATTCAAGAAACTGGTGGATTATGACCAAATGATTAATGCTTTCATCACCTGAACGGAATCTGGTATTCTTTTAGCTTAACTTCCCAGGCGTTCTGCACAAACTGGGAAGCATGATAGTAACCAGTACTTTCGGTGTAATTGATAAAATACAAATATCCTGATATTTTTTCATGTACTACGTATGTCTCTTTCAAAAATAGTCACCTAAGTTTCTTTGGATAGATGGGCACTGACCGACCATGAAACAAAAGATACCTAGGTTAAGATTGTTGATGCGACAAGTCAAACTAATTTTTCAGGCATCTATGAAGATTACCAGTTGGTCCATTACTCACTTCCGAGACTTAATCACCCATACCAGGTTTCTTGCTACTGAACACAAGTGAACTGTAGCAGCTTTCAATTATTAGATACAGCTGAAGCTGCCATCTCAGTTACAACAGTAAATTTTATCATCCTTGAGTAAATGTTGTGTTAATTTTCACGTTAAACCATTGTACCAGGTATCCATATGCATCAAGAGACAGGTAGTGAGTTTTAAGGAGGTTGTGGAGACCTTTTATCTATGAGTGGAACACATTCCCAATCCGTAAACGACTTTACTCGTTATTCTAACTTCACATGTGCTATACAGCATAGTCTTTTGACATAAAGTAGAAATTCATGAGAACCTCATGTGTTGCGCAATCTAACCCAAGTACCTACGGCAAAAGCCCAACAGTGTACAAAGTTTACCTAATCACAGTGCAAACCAACAAAGCGGTACAACTTGAATACATATAAATGAGTGAAAATACATGTGTTCAGATTTCATTTTGAATACAACCAAATTTAATTTATGTATGTACTAATTTCCACACACAGTTCACTCTGAAACGAAAGTCTCTTGTTGTTCGAATCAGTAAGATAAGAAGGTAAACTGACCTTCTGAGCTGCTTTCTCCAACTCATCGCTGGTAGATACCTTGTCAATCTCTGATGTCCGGTCAACAACCATCGATACTACTGAATCCCATATGAAAATCTGAAATCAGCACACAAAAATATACTACTGCATGTTCTAATAATTCATCAGTTTAAGTATGAAAAGATACAAAGTACGCTTCATTTGCTATACTAAAGTTTGTGAACTCGGCGATAAACTAAGTCTTTTGTACCCGAGTGGATAATAATACTGCCTGACTGCCCAGACTCTGGTATATGAATCAAAGGTCGAATTCACGACTGATTAGTTGAGATATCTATCTTGCAATACAAATCGTGTTATTTCGATTCAATGGATGGTTAGGATTTTTTCACGCTCTAAAGTTCTAAAGTCACATGAAAAGACTCTGATACAAAACAAGATTGCTGATGAACTGAACTTTTGAATAAGAACCTCTTACCACGATATAAAAAATTAGATTATGCTAATCTCTAAATGGCTGAACCATTATCCGTTGATCGAATGAAGCACAATTTCACCACACTACATCAGTTTTTCTAGATAATGAGTACAGAAATATAAGTAGCATACTCAATATAACCTTGCTAGTATGTTTGTCTTTCATTGAGTGAGATTTCAGTTAGCGAGTTGTGAAACAGAAACTTGTAAACCCACCGAAATAATCTTTTTCAGTGGGACATTCTAGGAAACTTTTGAGATGATCCTAGGGTATGAAACTGCTCACACGATATTTATGATTACATTCAATCGGAAACAAAACAACTGAAAATACAACAATAATACATGACTTTAAGAACATCGGTTTTTACTTTAAACCCTGGCTTTCTAAGGTCATTTTTATCCTCTCAAGAAACTGTTATTAGGTGATTTGAATTATGGCTACACAACCTGTCAACAGATCCACAAGACTGTTAAGTGCTTCAGACGAACCACTCAAGCGTAATGCAAACTACAATCCCAATTTTCTAGTGTCAAAATTGTGCCGAAATAGTTACTCAACCCCTTTAAACTAGTGCTGCCAGTTCCTCAACAATCACATCAAAATCCACGGACAAGGGTAGGAGGTCAGTGGCCTCTATTGATATCTGTGACTGGTAATACTACGGAGATCCAATCTCGTTTCGTAAGTACCAAGAGAGAATGTAGATCCTGAGCTCCCACATAAGGTTCCACTGCTTCACACCTTTATGCGAAAAACTAATCTTTAAACGCAGATGACTGAGTTATAACTTCTTGCTTTTGGATGCTGTTTCCTTAACTGCACAGCTTAAAGATGTCGAAATAAATAGGATAAGTTAGCGTAAAAGTTATTCTTCAAGTTGCAGAATGCAAGTAATAGACCACCGCTGGTCCTGCAGTGAAGCAGTGAAAGCAGATCGAGCAGTTCTTCACAGGGATGTTTCAATGCCATTTTGACCATCCCAGCTTCTAACCTCCAGACCAGTTTTAATGTAGCAGCACTATATTTAAAACATAGGCTTGCAGTTCGGATTTCATCACTTTATCATCACTATCAACATTGGACAAGGCATTCCCGCATAACAATTCGAGTTGCCACAGATCATATCACTACACCAAGTTAAAAGGCAATAAAGCAGAAGATGAAGATAAGAAAATTCAGTCGAAAGAAATATAAAGTACGAAAAGAGAGAAAGAAAGAAAATGAGAAAATGGTGAGATTCGGTATAGCCTCGTTAAGATGAGGATAATGTGTGTACACATCTGAGCCACTGACGTCGGTACTCAGCCATGTGATCACCTAGAGTCTCCAACTATTGTTTCCTTTTTTCCCGTGGACCCCAACCACCTAGTCTACATCACCCCCACATGGCTCAAACCAACAATCAAACACTTCATACATTGGTTCCATGTTTTAGTCTGGCCATCTCGGGTCTTTTCCCAGCCTGGACCTACTTCGGCCAACATTGTGTGACAAGGTAATCGGTGACTGGGCATACGTAGTACGTGTCCCAATCATCTCAATCGATGAAGGTTTGTAACCTCGTCAACTGATTTACCTCTTCTCCATAAAACTCCACACCTGACTTCCACTTTACTCACGTGGTGACACCACGGAATACAGCGGCCTATACTACGAAGGCAACGGTGGTCAAACACCTGCAACCTTCTCATGTCTTCCACCTTCAATGGCCATGTTTCACAGCCATACAGTAGAACAGACCGGACTGCTGTGCAGGTGCAGTATACGCGACCCTTAGTAGACAATCGGATATAACGGCTGCGCCATAGGTCGTGCAATTTGGCGAAAGCCAGTCGAGCCTTTTGTATCCATGCAGAGATTTCATCAGCCACTGAGCCACCAGGGTAGTGCTAATCCCACTTCCCAGGTAAGTGAAGTCGTCGACACACTCAATCATCACACTCTGTTGTTAGCCGTGGTGGGGCACCGTTGAAGACCAATCCGTGAGCAACAATTTGCATTTGCGTGGTGAAAAACGCATCCCAAACATCTTCAAATTCCCACTCAATGTGTCCAGAAGACTCTGCATCTTGTCAGCGTCTTCACCTAACACGACTACATCATCTGCGTATTCTAGATTCAACGAAAATCCTACTGTGATTAGGTCAACACATCTGTGTAATCAGCTGATGAGAGGGAGACCTCCATAAGAGTATCTATGATAAAATTGAATAAGAATGAAGACAGTGGGCATCCTTGATGGACACCACTCGATGAACATAGCTCCCTGGACATTTCACCATAGCTCTAACACGCCCACAAGTGTTCGAGTAAAGAGCTTTCAATAAGATGATGTACTTACTCGGCACGCCTTACAGTGACAGACATTGCCATAAGACCCCTCGACCAACGGAGTCAAATGCCACCTTCAGGTCGAAAAACACAGCTATTGTCGGGCGTCAGTAAACGTGTTTATGTTCCAGGACCTGGCGCAGTGTGAATATTTGGTCGATACACCCACGACCGGCTCTAAAGCCTGCCTGCCTACCTGGTTTCCTCGGGCTTGCTGTTACCCAGCTTCACTCAGGCGTCTGTTGATTATATAACCTAGGATCAATCTTAGACACTATGTTCGTCAGGTTGATTCCTCTCTGGTTATCACAAGAGGACTTCTCGTCTTTCTTGAAGACTGGGATAATCACTGACTTAGACCAGTCAGGGGGGACCGTTTTTGATTCCCATATACTGACTAGTTAACACTTACATTAACCTGAATTAGCGCACCTTACCACCATCCTTGTATACCTCTGGAGTTAGTCCGTCTGGTCCTGCCACCCTTCCTCGTCTCACGTTACCTACCGCTTTCTTGACTTCTACTAGTGTTCGCGGGTTTATCTCAATCTTCCATTCAGGACCCGACTGGATAGCAGGCAACGCAATGGTGGCTGGAGGCCAGTTAGACTGTTCCTCGAAGTGTTCTACCCATAGTTCCAGTCATCTCCTCTGCAAGTGAATCGCAGATCCGTCCTTCTCCGCTATAGCCTCGCTAACCACAGTTGATCTTTTCCCCCAGTCTCCTTAATAAGTCCAAATAACTGTCTACTGTTACCAATCAACGCTGCCTTTTCATCTCTTCAGCCTTCGCTACCCACCACTGTTCGCGGTCGTTGCGTAGACTTTTTCTCAATCTACTTTTATGTTGCCCTAGCTCTTCATTGTACTCAGAGACTGCAGGGATGCATTCGCGTGCATCCATTAGTTCGGAAGAAGCTCCTGATATCCACTGGCTCCATTTAGCCACTAATTCGGAGTCAGCTACGGTCTTCAGGGCCACTTTTACAGCAGACTCCAGATGGCACCAAGCTTCTTCTGGATGAGTGGTAGTCTTCTGTTCTGATAACTGCCTAGCCAACTTCTCACTGAACACGGCTTTGGTGTTTTCATTGTCCAGCAACACTCGTAGTGGTTTTGTTGCCAAATTCTTTCTACGTCCATTGAGACGCAGGCATATACGTGCTCGGACCAACACTTGGTTGCCATCCAAACACGTACTCCAGAAGGAGCGGCAGTCTTCCACCGATCCTCTCCAGCCATGACTGATAGCAATATGATCTATCTGAGCTCGGTGGACGCCACGTCACACAGTGTCTTTCTTTGTCTCTGAATTTTGTGCCAACTAAAATAGGCGGTCATCTGAGCACAGTTGTAGTAGGCGATCACTGTTATCTATACGTTCAGTCGAAACTCCGAAAGTGCCACCGAAGTGCCTCTCTGTCTCACTCAGTCTACCCATCTGTACATTGAAGTCACCTGCAACAACCAACACGTCCGAACACTTGGCATTCGAGAGGAGGCTAGACAGTTTTCCGTAGAACTCGTCCTTCACTTCATCCGAACGACAGCCAGTCGGTGCGTAGACAGAGATTACAATAGACAACAGCAAGTCTCACTATCCCTTTCAGTTCTCACTGTGCCCTTCAGTCGGATAGCTCAGAGGCGACTATCAACTGGGATTCAGCCCAGCAGTGAGTTTTCTGCCTTAGTGCCTAATGCTATGCCTACACCTGCAAGACCACCACAGTTAGCCATCCAATCTCCAGAAACTCGAAGGGTGACTTTTTCGGATTCACCAGATTGGCCGGGAGAGGTCGGGTGAATAACCTCACTTGGGTCCTGCATACATGTCTCACAAACACAATATACATCTATGGCCCGAGTTGCTAGAGTCTCTGCTGATGAAGCCTGTTGACCAACTTGATGGAGGTTGCAGACATTAAGGGCTCCAATATGTAATTTGGAGCGTGGTTTAATGAGACCAAGGAGGCTATTCTGTGAACTCAGATAGTTTTCGAAGGCTGCAGAGCTAGGAGAAATTGATGATTTAGTATCGTTAGTTGAAAGACGTAAAGGAAGATTAGAAGGTAGTGATGAGGGAGGTGGATAGCAGTCTGAGAAAACTTAAGTGCTGATAGAGTTGTGAGGGCGGTTGACACTTCACGGCTGCCTCCACCGTCGAAGGCCATTTCTTCTTAAGGTACCTGAAAGAAATTTGTGTGACCACAGAGCCCATCGGACATCTGCTTCAGGCCCGTCACACGAAGCCTTTCGTGTATGATTATTTTGAACTTTTGTTGTTTTGGGGTCGGATAGAGGAAAG